TTTAACTATATTTTTATCTATTTAATCCCTAAGAATAATAATCATATATTGCCTAATAAGTTTAGGCCCATATCTTTGTATATTGTGTTTGATTAAATTGTTACTAAGACTTTTGCAAATATAATCATAATAATTGTGCCTGATATTATTAGTCCAAATAAAATGCTTTTGTGCCTAATAAACTAATTACAAACAACTTTATCCTCGATTTTGACACTTTCCTATATGATATATTGGAATATAACTTTATTCATAATACCTATAACTCTTTAGGATTCCTTAATAGCCTCATTTAAGTTATCCTTAATTGTATTTCTATTGTGCCCTTCTTTATTCGCATCAATTGTTATCTCTATAAGCCATTTCCCCCACTAGGGGTATTAGGCAATGCAACTTTTTATCCCTTATATTTCATTCATTATGCTGATGTTTTATCTAATATGATCACAAATAATTTGAATATTCTCAATGATATTGTAATGGTTTGATGATAACTCACTATGTGTGAGGTATTATAGCCTTATGACTTGATTTTATCTTTTTATTCACTAACTTATTAGTTTGATTTTAGTGCACTTTTGTTGTTTTTAAGTAAGTTGTGAAGATCACAATAGGCTCTCTCATTTGTGAGTTTTTATGTGCTTGTTATATGTGTAGGGATGACTTCTAATAATTCATGGCATGACAAGATTGACACAACAACTTAACCCCAATTTTAAGTTGAGATCAGGATGCAATGAAGGTTACAAAGAATGGGTGTTCATAGCTTTAAAGCATACGAGGCATAAATTAGAAAATTGGAGTGCATTTGAATCATAAAGTAAAACAGATAAGATCAAGGTGCTAGAATACAAAAGATTGCATATACAACCACTACATCATGCAGCTTGTTCCTCTACAACGCAGAACTACTGCAAGGCACCACCACCGCCTCTCTACACCATTAGCCTACCACACGGTGCTTTGTCTTCCACATGTTGTTTGTACCTTTCTCAAAAATGGTACAAAAATGGAGATTGGATAGAAACTTATTGATTCTTATGGGCCAAAAGTAATGAATATTCAAATGCCCATGGTCTAAGACTCCACCAAACCCTAGATTAAGTTGACTATAAAAAGACCTCTTGGAGGAAATGCAAAAGAGGTTTAGACTCAGAGAGAAACACTTGGTAGAAATTAGTGTGAAAGTAACTTAAATCAAAGTGGAAATTTCTTATCTCTTCATCTTAAGTATAAGCTACCAGTATCTTGTGTGGCAAAACTCTTATCTTGTTAATTTAAGATTGCAAGAAGACGAAGAAGTTACTCTTAAGTTCTCATTTATTTTTTATTAAGTGTTTAAGAATGTTTAGCTTAGAAACCATTATTGATGTATGTACTGAGCTCACCGTGAGGTAAGCTCGTTTATGTTGAGCAATGTAAAGTTAACATAAAGTAATATTTTATGTTATTTGATGTGGTATTAGTGCTTTATTTTATCATGCATTATATTGTCATACATATGATTCTTTGGATGATCATCTTAGGAAAAGATAAAAGCTTGTTGATGTGAGGAATCCATCAACAAGTGAAACTCATGATAAATATGATTGAAAATAGTATCATAGAAATATTCACTGGATTACCTACTTTAGACATAAATAGATACAATCATGAGGATATTTGGAATGAAATCAAACATGAATTAAAGTTAAATGTAAGGCTTAAGAATTTGTCCCCTTGCTTTCTTGTATATGTTCATGATGTTGTTCGAATACACCTTAAGATTGCATTCTGACCTCATCTAACATGACATAACACATCATTTACACACAATAAACAAGTTATATTAATAGATTATTGCCCAACATATTCTCCATGACTGATTTTACTTATTCAAACCAAAGTTATTTCTGCTACTGTTTACTTTAAAACATAACTTATGACAACCATCAATTATTGTTATTTTTGTTCATCCTTATTCACAAAAAGTTAATTGTGCAAATCAATTTAAGTTATTTCCATTCCCTGTGGGTTCGACATCCTTACTAATCTACCACTTGCTACTTTAAAGAACACGTATACTTGTATGTGACATCACACATTTTCAAGCAACATCTGAAATGCTCCTAAAATCTCCTATCTTATTTTTGCGGATGACAATCTAATGCTTTGTAGAATAGATAAATAAGAAGAAAATACTCTACCCAAGTGGCAATCTTATCAAATTTGAACATGTGTCCAACATAATTGTTCCCGAGTTCAAAAGAAACCAAGTTAACAATACCAAAATCAACAAGTACTTGAGTCTCCATATCCATATTGTTCAGTTTAGAAAGCAAAACTTCAACTAACTTTTTAAAGAGTTTGGAGAAAGTACAATGGTTGGAAAGAAAAATGTGTATCCTTAGCTAGTAGAGCTACTCTAGTTAAATTGGTGGCTCAGAACATGCCTACTGATGTTACCAGTACCTTTCTAATCCTAAGATTTACACGCAACTAATTAGACAATATGATCTCTAATTTTTAATGAGGTCAAAAGAGTGTTGAGGAAAAGATCGGTTGGGCCAAGTGGCATGATTTATGTCTTAATAAGGATGTGGGTGGTCTTGAGTTTAGAAACCTTACATGTTTCAATATATAATCTATTAAGAGACTATCATATACTCTTTATGTCCTAGCCATTAAAAGAGTATAAAATATCAACTACTAATTACTAAAAATTACTAAGGTTTAGTTTGACTCACGTCTACACATTTAATTTAATTACATCTCTCTAATTGATTTTACTTAGTGGTTAACATATCTCATTAAGAATGTGAATTTTAATATTTGAAATTTATTAATAAAAAACCTTATAGACAATATTTGGATTGTTAAGAAAAAAATTAAGAACCAAAATATACATCTTTTGAATATCATTGAGCGAGGGGTTCATATGTTCACAAAAATGCAGAACAATGGCGATAAACTCCATCAAGACAATGCACCTAAAAGAAATAGGAATAGACACTACAATCACAATCCTCACAATATAAACAATAATAAAAGAGCTGGGTCATATAACACAAGAACCATGAAGGGAAATCGAAGAAGAACTATAACCCTAACTCTAAGGAATTGAAGTTTCTAAAGTAAGGATGACATAAATGTAACGTTGGTGTTAAGTTAACACTGGTAGGAAGCGAGAGAATGGTCATATTATTAGATACGAGGTTGGCTAGGTTGCGGAAAGAACTATCCAACTTAGTTAATAAACCTTATAAATCAACTTAAACGGATGTGAAAACTATTGATTTAGGCATAAAATTTGCAAACGGTAATTGCTTCCGACACTTTTGCTTCGAAAGTGTCTCTTCGATTTTAATGGAAACCCTATATTAATTTAGAGACGAATGACTCAACATTCTAACCCTTTAGCGTGTGACTACACACCTGCCTCTTTTAAGTTTTCCCTCAAGTCACAAATAATATTGCCTATGTTTTAGCTTTTCAAGTTAATATCATTAAAATAAAATATAAATTTAACATACACATCTCTATACTTTTACTCGGTCTTTCTTAATATATACTTTCGATTTAATTTTTTTTATAAAAAAGAATATACCAACAATAAAATCGAATATTCATTTTATTTCGCGATGATTCATTCTAATCTTAAAACTAGTAAGAAACTCGTGTTATCGCACATGTCATGCCTGAATTTGCATTACACGTATATTAAATACTCATTTTTAAAGTTTGAATTCATACTTCAATTGGTTAATATTCATATAATTATAAAATATAGGCTAATAGTATGCACCAACTTTTAAGCATTGATCTGTACTTATAATAAACCGTACAATCGATTTTCTAACTTCAAATATATAAAACAATAGTAAAAGAAAGATTTAAAAGATGGACATTAATGAACAATCTACGACTGGTACCTCATAGATACATTTACATCTACCCATGAATCTATGACCGCAAGAACTTTCATTACGATTATGATGAACAATCTACAACTATTAAATTGAGAAATAACAAAAGAAAGATTTAAAAGACTGTCATTAAAATGAACAGTCTACAATTGATATCTCATAAATACGTTTACATCTATCAGTGAATTTATTTCATGTAATTTATCACCGTTTATAAAAATAAATGTTCCAAAAGATAGACTTTTTCCCGTTTATAAGCGTTTCGAACACGTTTGCCCATTTATAAAAAAATATATGAAACTTATTCTCATTTATAAAAATAATTGTATCATAGTTAAATTTTTTCCGTTTAAAAAATATTTGTAATTTATTCATGTTTATAAAAATAACTGTAACTTATTTTCGTTTGTAAAAGTAATTATATCAATATGTAGACTTTTTCTCGTTTATAAGTGTCTTGAACCCGTGTGACAATTTATAAAAATATTTTAACTTATTCATGTTAAAAACAATTGTATTAATATTTGAATTTATAAAATTATTTGTAATTTATTCATATTTATAAAAATGATTGTATAAATTTTTACCATTTTTCATTATTTTTTTCATGATTATTATTTATCATTATTTTTTCGTGACTACCATTTATCATTTTTTTTGAAAAAATTTTGTTTTGTTTTAGTAATTTATAAATTTAAAAAAATTACAAAATCTCTATTGATTTTGTTTTGTTTTTATTAACCTTTTTCTAAAAATCTAAATAATTACAAAATATATTTTATTTTATGTAAGAATTTAGAATTTTAATTAAAAAAATTAAATAATAAAAAAACAAATTAATAGTATTAGACACCTAAAAACCAAAATAGAGTATAAGTATAACATGATTTGAGCATTGTGTGGATTTTTCAAGAGTAGAACAATGGTCCGGCTAATATTGATTTTTTATTTGAAAGATTAGAAGTATAGCTATTTGTTACAATTACAGAACCACCTCTCAAACTTATTCTTAGTCTTTCCTTTTTAAATTAAACTTTAAGGTTCCCTTAAATTTTCTAAGGAAACCAATGAGGTAAAAAAAGACCGATAATTGTTTTATATCATCACACCTAAAGGATGCTTCAAGTCTCCAACATGAAGCACATGTTCTCCTAAGGCCAATTTTCTGTTACCAAGTTCATCAACCACACTCAAATCTTTACAAACATCCACTTTGAAACTAACCACTGCTTCAAATTTTTCTGTCAAGTGCACTTTCTCAAAAGCCAACAAGTGTTTCTGAGGTGCATTGTGCACTGCAGGAGGGGTAGAGAATAACAACACTGTTTCTGAGCTCCACTAGTTTCTCCAGGATAGCCAACCTACAACATGCTTGTGATTTTATCATTCGTTTTAGCAAATGAAACATCCATGCCTCCTTCAGAACTTTTGCACAAAGCTTTACCTTGGTGAGTGAGAGCATATACTCCTGCCTTCCTCAAATTCTGCTTATCCGCTTCCGATACAACGGCAACGATCTGACGGAGATGATCTGGTTTTCCAACGAAAATGTAAGGAAGAAATTGGAGAATCGCCTTGAATGTTCCCGTTGATCTCGCAATCTCAAACTCCGATCGAAAATCAATATCAATAATCAACATTCCACAATGACATCAATGTATTCATATTCACCTGAATCAAAAAATCAAAACCATTACATTCAATTATCCATTTACAATTAAAAATAATGTCCAGTTTCATAATAAAAAAATTTAGGCATAAAATTGTACCTCCAGGGTGAGAGAGTGTTTTTCCCATTTAGAATAACATATGGAAGAATCATAACCTAGAGAAGAAAGATTTTCTGCAACTATCTTTCTCAAATCGTTTTTTAGCTTAAAAACTTTGATGTTTTTGTCAACTATTTTTGATGTATCATCTAATAGATTTCTCTCCACAACACTCGCACATGGAATCAAACTCTGCTAACAAAAACAAAAATGTAAGAAATAATTTGAAGATAAAGTAAATCTATAAAGCTAGAGTTCTTGAAGAAACCTTGAGCGTGTCACCGACGTCATTGATAGAACCAGAAGTGATAGATTCACCGAAGAAATCAAGTTCTTCATTGGAGAACGATGATGATTAGCCATGGATATTAACGATGATGAAACTAAAATACAAACCAAATTCGTATACATGAGAAGCAAAAACTTACCCGGTAGGATGAGAATACTACAAAAGGAAAGGTTTAGGGTTTGACATGTATGACAGCCGTATTAATATGATTAAAATTGATTGAATGAATCTTAAGAAAGAATGGTATTAGTTGAATGTTGCGTGAGTGCTGGCTTCAAGATTCTTTAAAATTGCCTTTTCAGTTTCCAAGCGAAAGGTGACTTTTCCTCTTCTACATCCATGTGCGTGATTAGGTTCAAAGAATTCAAATGTAGAATTAGTTATTTTGGTTAGTGGAGTTAGGGCTGTTATTGGGCCTCAGGATCCGATATCTGGACTGGTAGACCTGGACCATTAGCCCGACCGAAAATATAGATGGATCAGTCATGGGTAAAAATGTTATCCGTTGCCCGGATAAAATCTGGACCATTTATCCAACGAATACCCGAAACACATGATATAAATTTTGTTTTCATATCATTTTTCCATTTTTCACCATCTTCAGTTTATGCTCCCCATTTCTCTCTCAGTCCTTCTCCGACGACCTCCTCTTTCCCTCTCTATGTCCGGTGATGATGTTCAACATAAATACTCTAGTGTAGTGTACGTGTTCTTCTTCTGTTTCAGAGGCTTTCATAAACTTGTAATACATTCAAATTTTTATACTTATTTTTTTATAGTATTCTTTATCTTTACCTAGTATGCATGTTTGTTTTGAATAGTTTGATGAATCGTTTAATACCAATACCATGTTTCAGTGTTGAACACATTATTTTTTACCTAAATTGTTTTAAATTTTTTAGCTAGGGTTTGTGTTTTAAATAAAACACTTTTGTTTTAACGTTGACCTAATATCTTTGCATGTTATAATTTTGACCTGAGATTTGTGTTTTACTATTTGATTGATAATAATAAAGGGTAAGGCTAGGGTTTTGAGTAATTGCTTGTCTTCTTCTGTTTTTAATCAATTTTGAGGGTCCGTGTTGCTGACTTTTGTTTTAGTTTCATAAAAAAGATATTGTTTGATTGATTGTGTTTTGTTCCATGTCTTTTCAAGATTCGTCATTGACTCTTCCAACCATGGATGATCTACTTGATATTAATATGTTGCTTTCTGACATTGAGGAATAGGAGACAACGAATGGAGGTTATTTAGAGATTGGTGAGATGATTGATTTGGAGCTTCCAGTTCAAAATACCTCCACTGATAATACTACCACTCAAAATACCCCCCACTGATAATACTACCACTCAAAATACGCTCACTAAAAATACTACCAATATTGATGGGTCAACCCCTCCAATTGAACAAGATCAGAGTTCTCAGATAAATGCTTTTGGTAAAGCTCGTCTTCCCAAAAAATCTGTTGTTCATACTGAAATGGTGCTTATTGAAGGATCTGATGGTAAGAAGTGGAAGTGCAGATGGTGTGGTAAGCTTTACACATATGATACGAAGTGAAAAAATACATCTAACAATAAGAAACATTTAGCTGTTTGTATTCAGAGAAAGTTTAGGTTGAAAGGTAATAATGACAAAGAGGTTGCACAATCTAGGTTAAACATAGGTAATAGTACTCCAAGTTTGGCAACCTGAACATATAATCATCTAGGGTTAGAGAAATTGCAGCACATATGATTCTAGATCATGAATTTCCTTTTTTGGTTATGGAAGGTGTTATTTTTAATGAGTTTCTTAGGGATATTTATCAATGGTACAAAAAGATTAATAGGAAACAAGTTAAGTTTGATTGTGATACATTTTATGAGGCTGAGAGAGTTAAGATGAAAAGTTTTATGGCTTTGATTAATTGGGTCAACCTTACCACTGACTTGTGGTGGTCTGGTGAACAAAGGATAGGTCATATGACTGTGATTGGTCATTTCATTGATTCAAAATGACAGCTTTATAAAAGAGTTTTATCTTTTCAGAATGTGCCACCGCCACATTCTGGGGAGGTTTTGTGTAAGGAGTTGATTAAGGTGATGGATGATTGGGGAATAAGAGATAAGGTAGCTTCAATTTCTGTAGATAATACTAGTGCCAATTATAATTGCATTGCTAGATTGAAGAAAGATTATTCTGGTAGGGGAAATTTACCCTTATATGGTAAACTGTTTCATGTAAGGTGTTGTGCACACATCTTAAATTTGTTGGTGCAGGATGGTCTTGATATGAGTAAGGTGACTGTTGATAAGATAAGAAAGGATGTCAAATACTTGCTGAATTCTGAAACTATATGCAAAGCATTCAAAAAGTTTGTTGATGAGTTACAACTTGAAGGCAAAATGCAAGTGTTGGATACCAAGACAAGTGGAACTCAACTTGGTTGATGTTATCAACTACATACCACTACAGAGAAGTGTGGCCTAGATATGCTGAGGAAAATGGTGCATTTATCAGTTTTTTTCCTGAGGCAAATGATTGGGAAGATGTGCATGATATTTTCAAGTTTTTAGATGTTTTTGCTGATGTGACATCAATTATAAGTGGTACCTCTTACCCTACTGCTAATATGTTTTTGGCTGAGCTTTACAGGGTGAAGATTCTACTTGATAAACCTTCAAGTATCTCAAATAATCCTCAGTTGCAGGCGCTTGCTAATTAAATAAAGTTGAAATATGACAAGTGTGATACGGTGGGAGAACTGACTTGGTTGTTTTGCGTGTTATCGCAAATGTTGCAGTTAGCAAGAGTCACCATCGACTTTTCTTTTATCCAAAAGGAAAGGTGAAAAAGCACAGGAAAGACATTTGAGATTGTTTCTTGAGTTCGGGGGGTAGATTATGAAAAAGGAAGGTATTAGCACCCTTTTCATCCATGGTTTTCCATGGGCTCTTAGTTACTTTCTAGATCACTTGCTTTTGTTTGAAAATGTGCTTTGTGTGGTTTTTGAAAGTATTTTGAAAATGCGTCATTGTTTAGGAAAACTTTGTAATGATTCTCGTTCGTAAGAATGTATACAAAGTGTTGATCTTTTGAAAATGTTTTCAAGTTTGAAAGATGTTTTTGAAAGTGTTGGTGTTTGTTTTGAAGATAGAAAGGATGTTTTTTGTTTTGAAATTGAGCAAGTAACTAGGAACAATCTACCTACTGAAAAGTCTTTCATGTTTATTTCCCTTTTCTTTGACATTGTTATCTTACCATTGATTTGGTAAGTAACCCTATCTTTGAATGTAAACGGGACGGGTGTGGGTCATCATATAACCATGATTAGCAATGTTGCAAGGTACCTTAGCATCTTTCTTTAGGGACTAAGATCATTTTGAAAAGGCAATATAGATAGCGTCATCGTGGGACTATGATCTTGTATTTTGCTTGTTTTTGCTAAGATACCTCACATGTATAATATGGTCATTTTTTGTAAGGCAATCAAGTGGATTTTACCCTAGGGTGCTTGTGTGTAAGTGTATTGATTTTTCATGCTTAATTTGACTTTGATTAGGGTTTGCTAATTGATTGGTTTTAGTCTTTCCATATAAATCCTAATTACTAACATTTATATAAAGCGATAAATTGCGAAAAGTAAAATTACTACGCTATTACATCATTAGGGGAGGGGGTGTACAAATTTACAAATGGGGATTGCAAAAAATTAAACCTAATTATCTATTACAACCATATTGAATATTGTACAAAATTGAAAATAAAATACAAGAATATAAATGGAAAAAGAAATAATTTTTGTTGTTTTTTTATGAAAGGGATTTTGTCTTGACCTAATTAAAGAAAATGATTAATTAAAATTAAATAAGATTAACTTAAGCTAATTAAGAAAAGAAATTAATTTGAAAATGATTTTTAGGGTTTTTTATGCAAAGGTTTTAAATTAATGAAAATAATATGAATATTAATTAATTATACTCAACCTAAGTTCTAAATTAATTTTAACTAGAAAATAAAATAATATATTAATTTAACCTAAGTCTAAAAATAATTATTTAAGAAAAAGAAAAGAAATTTATTTATTTTAAGAAAATGTTTTTTTATCTTTTTATTTTATAGAGAAAATAAATGTATAAGTATGAAAATAATAATAATAATATTTTTGGATTTTTTATTAATAAAAATAATAATAATAATAATAATAATAATAATAATAATAATAAAAATAAAAAGGAAAACTAAAAATGAAAATAAAATAAGAAAAGAAAATATAAAAAAAGGTTGGGTCAGGTGTGCAATAGTAAGGCAGGGGGTTAAAGGCAGCAAAAAGACAAAGCCCAACATTGGAGGTCCATGTGCGCTTGTGGCTGGCAAAAAGGAAGAAAAATGTTGCAAAAATAAACAAAAGGCAACGCTGGGTCTCGAACCCGTGACCTTGAGATAAACGCGTGCTGCCTTTGCCACTGGGGTGACTGTACATCTGTTAACATAAGCAAAACAAAAAAATACATAACATCAATCTAGTCCTGAAAATGACTTCATCTTCAACCTTCAGCCAAAGGATCTGTAACTTACTCGTTTCTCCATCATTTGCAAAAATGTAAACATGAAAATTGCTCCATTTTGTCATACGAATTCAACCATATAAATATCATAAACTATAAATCAAAGATGAATGGGAATTTCTAAAAGTACCAAATTCTGACCTAAATATTTCAGAAAGTTCAAACTCAAAATTCTCCTAGCTCAATCAAAATAAATGAAATCTATGGACATGTATAGTTTCAGGGCAATGATGTCTATATTTTATCTTCATAAATACAAACCTAACAATGCCTAAATATAGAGATAGAAGTTCAAGAAAAATACCTCAAAACTGGAAATCGTGAAATGGATTTGAGCTTGTTTCAGGCAGTGGTGATGATCAAGTTACCTTCCTTGGACCTCTAGGAAGCTAATGCAATGACTGGCTTAAGCTGCGGGTGGCTGAAATGGCCTGGAGAAGTCCAACTGCAATGCTCTGTTTTTTACTATGGAAGTTGATGAAGATGATGTTACAGTATACAAACAGGGACAGTGATGGTTTGTGTATGATGCTAAGAAGCTTTTGGAAGTGTGAAGCCAAGAAACGCACGAGTGATTTGGAAGATTGAAGTTCAAAGTCAGAAATGACACAAAAATTAAGGTTTTGTGCAATCTAAGTTTTCAGGGAGTTTGGTAGCTTGTCTCTTCGTGTGTTAGCTTGCAAATAACTTGTATAGTTATATGAAAGAGGTTAGAGGGTTTGAAGTTGACAAAACTGCGAGATATAGAGTTATGGCTATGTTACTTGATTTTGAAGAAAAGTGGGAAAACAAGTTTCAATGTGTAGTACAAGCATGGCTTGGGTTTATGGGAGGCTCTAGACATGTTGATTTTTCCTTTGACATTGCTTGTGTTAATATGAAACAAGTTAGGAGCTCTATGCATTGACTTTGTGATTAAAGTCACTTTTCCAAAATGGAAGTGTGAATTTTGTTCCATTAATGGAATAATCACTTGGACAATGATTCAAACACTTGGATCATAGATCAAATATTTGTGTAATATTCTGATTATGGAGAGATATTGAGGTTTAGATGCCTGCCAAGCAAGATTGTGCAGCATAGGTTTGAAATTTGAATTTTGTTCATCACAAATGACTTGTAATTTAAGTTTGAAAACCCTAACTTCATCTCTTTGATTATCCTTGCTCACAAATGATCTCAAAGAGTTCTTGGATATTTTGGAAAGATTGTAATGTGTTCTACAACCCCTCTTTGAACCACTTTTAAAAATTCCCTTTGGAACTATATGAAAAGGTGCCATGAAGTTAGGTCAAAATTCTGACCAAAACTAGGGCAAAATTTCACTAAGTGTTCAATTTCAAGACCATGACTTTATGAATTAATAACTTGAGATCCAAGAATTTTTAGAAGAAGTTGTGTAAAGAAATATTGTAGATATCATGGAGATATACAACTTTCATGTTGAAAGTTTCTTTTGAATCCTCTTGCATCATGGTGAAAAATTGACTCAAAGTTGTGAAAAAACATGAAGTTTTAAACACAGAAAAATTTCTAAGTTAGAAAACTTTGACTTTTCAAAATGAAATCTTGACTTTTTTGATTTCTTGATGAATAAGTTTCATATTTTGACATGTTTTGATGAATTTTTATCTTTGACATTAGATTTTGACCAAAAAGTCAAAGTTTGACTTTTCAGTGTATAGTTGAGTTTTGATCAGTTGACTGAAAATTCACCATCAATCCAATTGATCTTGAGAAATGTTTTAGGTCATTCCATTAGGTAAAAATTATTCAATTGAACTCTTGAGATCATTCTTCAAGCCAATTTACCATTTTCTAGGTCAAAAATCAGAAATTGCCTTTTCTCAGTCAAAACCCTAATTTTGACTATTTTGCCCTTTTGATGATTTGATCAAATTTCTTGAGGAATTGTGGTACAAACTCGATCAAATGATATATATGAGTTTATAATGTTGATGTGGATCAAAATTATGAAGTTTGACTGTAAATTGGCCATATTTGACTTTTTCCCAAATACAACTAATTTTTAGATCAACTGATCAATTGATTGAGCAAAAGTGTGATCCAAGGCTTGAAACTTGACATGAGTAATCTTGGGGGTACATAATGATCCATGAAAGTCATATAAAGCATTGAAAGTTCAATTATCCTTGTGCAATCTCAAACCCTAATTTTGGTCATCAATGCTTAAGGGGGTGTCTTGAGCTGATCAATCCTAGTGCAGTCTTGAACCAAGACAGATCTTTGTGAGAAAATATTTGATAAATGAGAGGGAAAATTTTGGGGTACAACAACAAGTATTGGTCAGATTCTAATATACTGATTTCTATTGGTGTAGTCCTTGATCCAAGGTATGAACATGTTAGCCAATGATGAATTATGTATGATATGCTTCATTATTATTTGGGGCTTTGATGAAATCTGTATGATATTCTTTATTATTAATTGCTACCTATGATGAATTATATATGATATGAATGATTATCTGAGACCTTTGATGAAATCTGTTTGATCTGCTTCATTATTATCTAATGCCTTTGATGAAATTTGTTTGATATGCTTGATTATTAAGTAATGCCTATGATGAATTATGTATGATATTAATAATTTTATGAGGCCTTTGATGAAATCTGTTTGATATGCTTCATTATTATTTGATGCCAAATGCCAATGATGAATTATGTATGATATTAATGATTATCTGAGGCATAATCTGTATTGTGAGTTGTGACTTAATACTGCCTATTGATTCAATTAAGTTGACTATTTAGTTGTGATTTAATAGTGCCTATGATAAATTATATTTGATCTTTTTCCTTTGACATCAATTATCTGAGGCCTGTTCCGTTACCTGCTTGTTAATTTACTTGTGACTGAGGCATAATCTGTTACCTCCTTGTATATTGCCTTGCCCGTGATGAAAATTAATTCTGAGGCCATTATACGTTGACTTGTGAATTATTCTGAGGCATGTATTATCACCTGATACTTTACTTTATGCAATAGGTATAAGATGATCTTCATCAAATGTGTATACCTCTTCTTGTATCTAAATCCTTTTGAAGTAACTACCTATGAACAAGAGATGTCAAACAACTTAAATTCCCTCTTCCAATGATATAAAGATACCTTTAGAACCAATGATGAGATTATCCTTGCTGGTCGTGTATCTGAAATTCTAGAAGTAGGATCTACTTTTAGATTGGGAAGGAAGAATTTTGAGAGGTTTTTAGAAACTGTTGTGGATAATAATAATTCAAAATCTGATCTTGAATTATATCTTAATGAGCCTCCCTTGAAAGTTTCCCCTAAAGCTAAATTTGATGTTTTAACATGGTAGATAGGAAATGAAGCCAAGTATCCTGTTCTTAGTAAATTGACAAAAGATATCCTAACTGTTCCAGTTACTACTGTTGCTTCTGAAGCAACAATACTGGAGAAAGGGTTATTGATCCAAAACGATCATCTATAAAAATTAAGACAATTGAAATAGTGTTTTGTGGAGGTGATTGGGTGAAGGAGAAGTATGAGATTAAGAAGGATTGCACTGCTTCAATTGTAAATATTGATTATTATGTATATTAGTTATTATTCTATCTCACTAATACATTTTCTGATTTTGTAGCTTTAGGAACCACAAGATGAACATTTGACTTATAATTTTGGTGAAGATTCGGGCCTCGCTTCTTCTACAACTACAAATTGAAAATGTGTATTTGAAATGTCAATGATGAGCTTGTTCCGAGGCATCATTATGTAATGATATTTTGCACAAGTTTTTTGATTCAATCTTTTGACAACTTTTTTGATACAATGTTGTTACTTGTTATGGTGTTGTAATATTTATACAATGTCCAATGATGATACAATGTGAACTGGGTAGCAAAATTCTGCATTATTATTTAGCAAAATGATGATAGTATCATATTAGAAATTGAGTTTCAATTTTATATTATAATTTCTGAAATTTCATTTTTGTTCTTATATTTCGGATGGTCCGGTTATCCGCCTGAAACTCATCGGACCGGTCTCGATTCTCAGTACATAAATCCGTTAAATTCGATTTGGTCCCGATTTACCCGAATGTATCAGACCAGTTTTGGTAAAAAAAAACCCGATACTATTATGGTCCAGTCCCAGTCTACCCGATTCGAGTTCTGATCTAATCCTCAGAAGAGCAAATACCCGGACCGGACTAGACCGAAAACAAACTTAAGTGGAATATTAATAATAATGTGATAATAGTGATTAAAAAAAATATTATATTAAATTGTAATATGATGACACATCAAATATAATAAATACTAAAACAATGTGGTGAGAGTAATGTGAAAAAATATCTAATATACTTTATAATTAAATTAAATATTAATTGATGTTAGAGAAATAATACTTGAATTTTCAAATACTTTGATTTTTATAGATAGAGGACAAATATTTAAATTGAACTCAAGGCACAAAAAAAATAGAATTTCATTAAAACACACCAGCCAGATGTCGTTCAGCTATTGGTACATCCTTATAAACTTTAAACAATTTTTTCGTCATCATTCCTCATTTATCACAATTTATAATTTTATTTATTTTAATTAAATATATTGAATTTCTTCGTCAAACTCGTACGTACGGATATTCCGGCAAATCGAAACCTCGTTGGTTTCTGTCGCACACCTGACACCACCTTCGGATCTCACATCACACCACACACACACATTCATCCCTTCCTTCCATTTCAATATTCTCTTCCAAATTGCTCCCTTCTTATTGAAACCCCCGTTTTTCATTCTAGTTTGTCTCTGATCCCATTTTGATGCCATGAAGAAGAAGCTCGATACCCGTTTTCCTGCCGTAAGTTGTTTTTTCTGCTTTTTATGGTTAAAGTTTGAATTTTTTCGTAGTTCCCTTGTGTTTTTGCATCTGGGTAATTGGAATTTAGGTTTGGTGATAATTGAGGGTTTCTGGGTTGTTAGGGTGTGAATTAGGTATAATGGCATGATGGGTGTTATTGGAATTTAGTATAATTCATAGAATTTATTTGATTGTGCTGGATAATAATTTAGGTTAAATTAGGCCGCGTTTGCGGGTGTTGGAATTGAGGTCATTGTGGTTGCTGCGACGCACATTGCTGCTTGATTTTTATTGGGCGATATTTGAAATACACATTTGAAAATTACTTAAGTTAAGATTTTCATTACATCAGAAGTAAATTGAGTTTTGATGTTCTGAAATTTTGAGTTTTGATGAAAATACTTGAAAAAACATGGGTGAAATTATCTGATGCGGTTCATAACACGGTCTGATGTGTGATTGCAATTGCGGTGTGATGTGGTTGTGGGGAGACTACTGCATCAGCAATATTGCGGTCACAATTGCGGTTGCGGACTGCAATTTAAAACCATGGATGTGAGTTTGAGCCAGTGTTATCTTATTGTATCAGTAACATATTATGGATATCCGAAAATCTGCTTTGTGAGATATTGGATAGCTTTGCAAGCAATTAGCGGAGGCTGCATTGCAGATGCGATTATTCGGTTGTTTATATGTTATGAAATGATATGTTGCATAGAAATTGAAAAGGGAAATCATAGCTTACAAATTGAAAGATGTGTGTGTGTTACCGTGTGAGTGTGAGCATTTGAGTGTTATTCATTGATTAGTTTTTCTCTTTCAAAATAGCTCATGTTTGATGCACATGCAAACTCTTCAGTTTTGTTATAGCGTAACCGAATTTAAACGTACCGCTATTGTCTGCAATCCGCAATGGATAGCACTTGAGTAGGGAATTTGAGAATATAATTTAGACCCTTTTCAAATGCTTTATCTGATGGAAACATTAAATTGCAGGCTCGGATAAAGAAGATAATGCAAGCAGACGAGGATGTTGGAAAGATAGCATTAGCAGTTCCTGTATTAGTTTGTGAGTTGCTTTTACTTACTTAGTTAACCTTTAGCCGTTTTCCGCGTCTTTTCTCTCATATGTTGTTGACCCTGCTTCTTTACAGCAAAAGCTCTGGAATTATTTCTGCAAGATCTTTGTGACCGCACTTATGAAATAACTCTACAGAGAGGAGCAAAGACCATGAACGCATTGCATTTGTAAGTCGTGGAATATTTTCATTATTTCTGTATTTTTCTTTAGGAATCCTTCACGTGTGAGTTGTCTCCATGCATGAACTGATTTTACTTTTGCTGAAGTTTGATTTATGAGTTGAACACACAAGAGTTTGCATGTGAGTTGATTTGTTTTTGTGATCTAGAATCGTAAATATGTAAGATTTTAAGAGTTAACTCAAGAGTTTGACGACCATGATTTTTATAGCTTTTCACTTTTCTATCCAAAGTGAATTTCTCACTTTAGAGGGGCTAAATCTGATAAATCAAACTATGTAATATTCAGAGACTGATCATGACCAATGTAGTCAAGATTGTAAGATCTTACATGCCAAGGGTGCCTGAGAGTGCTACGACCAAAGAAAGATTGTTTTCGTTGTCGGTGTGGTCAAAATCGAGCTTTTTGAAGCAAGATCATAAAAAAAAAAGTTGTACCTTATTTTTGGGTATGAATTATAATTTTCATGTTTTTGTGTATGTGTGTATAAATATATATGAAATTACCCTTTTTTCCTTTGGTAGGATCTTACATGCCGTGTTAGTGAAACGAGTTTTACGATCTTTCACAAGCCGATCGATCCTAGTTAAGATCTCGTGCTTGACTACATTCATGACATTATGTCTCCATCTTATTTATGTATCTTCAATATATTTTGAGTATATTCTAACCAGTGGCGAACACAAACTTCAGGAAACATTGTGTACAGAGCTACAATGTCTTCGACTTTTTGAGAGACATCGTCAGCAGGGTTCCGGACTATGGGCACGGCCATGGCCATCCTGAGGCTGGAGCTGATGACCGCTCCCTTCCGAAGAGAAGGTTTGAAGTCCAATAGCTTTTATCATTTTCTTTATCTTGTCTAATTTCTCTATGCATATAGACAATTAACAATGTTAAGAATGCTTCATTTTTCCAGGAAACCTGCTGGCGATGATTGCAATGACAGTGACGAAGAGACTAAGCGGAGTAAGATGGTAATTTCCCTCTTATGAAAAACCTCGACTATGGTCAACTAAATTAGTATTCTTAAAATGCTGGTAAAGTATTACATGCTCGTAATGCTGAAGTTTTGCTGACTTAGAGCTTGTTTGGATTGAGTTATTTCTGTAATAATAAAGTCGAGTAGTTTTCATAGAGGCTATTGTTTTCTTCAAACAGTTTTGATAAAAAATGTTTTTATTTGATTACAGCTAGAGTTGGGCCACACCGGCGGTACTGGTAGGGGAAGAGGGAGAGGTAGAGGAAGAGGCCGCGGCCGAGGAGCTCGAACCGCAGAGAAAGAGACCTTACATCAACAGGTTGAGTCCGAACCTTGCACCTCTATTCAACAAAGTAGCAAAGAAGTCCCTAATACAAGTATGGCAATCGATAACGGTCCAGAACCAAAGGAGTTATCAAAGGAAAACATTTCACCTCACGAGGAAAGCACTCGATCTTTCCGAAACATCGATTTAAATGCCAATATACAAGAAAACGAGGACAAAGACAATACAAGTGCGGCTACTCCTCAGGCCTCATTGCCCGAACCTGCTGCAGTAACGGATATGCAACATGAAGAAATTCCAGGTTGGTCTCTTGCTGATGTCGACAAGATGGCAATCGATACGTTACAGCTTGCCGCGAATCTTGGTAATAGACTAGATGAGGAGGAGGAAGATTATGATGAGGAGGAAGGGTAATAGATTAAAGTGGAAAACCCTTTTTTCGATATCTGGTATAGTTATCTGGTAATCGATGAACTTGTGTAGCAAATGTAGTTTTTTCCTCTTATTAGTAATGTTAGTTTCATGCACTTTTTAGGATTTAAAAATGGATGTTGTAGGTTACATCAACTTTGATAGTCCAGGATTAAATTTCTTGATAAAGCTTGATTACAAGATGATTTCATTGTGTTGTGTTATTTAAGGTATGTCTGTCAAAATGGTTTTCTACTTCTGAGTTTTGTCCCTCAAATAGAAAGCAAAAGAAATATAATTCTATCATCCAAGTGGTCTAAAATATTATGGACCATATCGATTAAAGGAAACTATATATTGTAACTATTTCATGCATTTTTTTTAAAATTTTTTTCATCTTACTTGATTTTCAAGATTTTTAAAGTTAAAATTAGAGATCAGAAACATATGTTTCTGAAAACATTTCAACCGTAATTTTAAATTGAAGTACACATTTGTGATCATAATATTGTCATTACGGCAACCACTGCTTCGACATTTTACCGCAATTATGATCCTGACTTTTTGATCATAACTATGTTGCATCTCACATAGTTGCATCTCACACCACATTCTAATAATAAAATAACAAAAAAACAACGAGAACTTAAAAACACTTGAATTAGATGGTGAGGGTCTCTTTCAGTTTAATCAGAAGTTCTGAGTTCGAATACATTTGCGCGGATTGCATAATCTACATAACTGTGTTGCATCTCACACCACACTCTAATAATAAAATAACATAAAGAAACAACGACAACCTAAGAACATTTGAATGAGATGGCGATGGTCTCTTTCAGCTTAATCAGAAATTCTGAGTTCGAATACAGTTGCGCGGATTGCATAATCTATTATTTATTGAAACGACACACAAGGTTCTTGTAAATACAGCAACCCGGGGTTGAAAGAGACCAACTCATTATGTAAAATATCACATATAAAGTTTTTCACCATCCCTGCATGAATTATGTCATCATTACAAATTCAGTTAGATTATATCCTCGAGTTCAATGCCTCCGTCCATCATGGTGAACAAGAAGGTAGCAACTCTAGCCAATAGTGAGTCTGACGACGACGAGAATGCCATGGCATAGATGTGAGCTGCCATGGATGACTTACATTGTTATAATTAAATCTTGGAGGATAACGCCCTCCATATCTAGGAACACCCGCAAGAGGATGACCTTCCAAAAGAAACTGAAATCCTACATCTTCATCCTCTCTCAGATGAGATATCGAGGGCGCAGGTGCTAGAGAATTTCAAGTTGGCCTCGTTGGCTAAGTTTGATGGTCGCAACACAAATGAGAATAATTGAAGCTTTTAATTTCTTAAAATGCAAGCTGTTATCTGAAACCTTTAGAGATGCAACCTTAAGGTGGTACATGAATCTGCCACGACTCTCGATCACCAAGTACTAGGACTTGATAAAAATAACTAGTCTATCAGTTTGTAGAAAACAAACACAGAAAGATGGCTTCCACTAGCGTTTTCAACATTTGTCAGCTCCCCTCTGAATCTCTGAGAAAGTATCTCAGGCGCTTTAATCAGGCACGATCAAAGTCGTTCACCCCAACCATGAAATGTTCGTAAAAACATTTTAAAAATAGATGAACACCATTATTTTTTGTGTAGTTTAAAAATATGATTTTTATTTTAGGGTTTAAACTTTCAATTGATTTATTTTAACTAAAGAACGTGAACATGTACAATAATATGGCAAAAAAAATTTATCCAACTTGTAACCAGGATTACTCATAATCTACTGAATGCAGTTTGACATTTCAGGTGTTTAATATTTATGATATTTAGTCTATTTTCAGAAGATACATGAATCAATACATACTGAATTCCACACAAGAAGTTATCTTCAATTTATTATAGTACGGTCCAAAGAGAATTCATGTTTAGTTCCTCAACTTTAAATTGATACATCTCACACAATACTAAAAAAAAGACATTTGAGAAAAGGTTTTTACATCGGGTATCAAAATATATGATGTAAAAAATACAATTAACAAACTTTTTACATCAGGTATTTATTTGCAATGATATAAAAAATATGGAAAAAAATATATTTCGCTACCTATTACATCGGGCAAACGCATCCACCGATGTAAAAAGTTTTCAGAAAAAAATACGGTGGCATTTTTGTAAATAAGAAACAAGATAGTAGAAATATTAATAAAAAACATGCAACATATTACATCGGTTGACTAAAAACCGATGTAATATCTTCACAACAGATATTAATATAAAAAATAAATTAAAGAATAAATTAATTTTTTTGCAACTTATTACATCGGGTATTACAATGCACCGATGTAATAGGTGCATTGTAAAAAAAAAGTCAGAAAAAAAGCTTGCCAACCCTTACATCGGGGATTGCAATGCACCAATGTAATAGGTGCATTGTAAATATAAAAAAAAAGCTTGCCAACCCTTACATCGAGTATTACAATGCACCGATGTAATAGCCATCCAACCCTTACATCGGGTATTACAATGCACCGATGTAATAGGTGCCAAACCCTTATTTCCCAAACAGTAGAAAAATTACAACTCCATTTTCCCCTGTTCGTGTTTCCGATTCTGGTCGCTTCCGATTCCGATTCCGTCTTCCTCAACCTTGCTTCCGATTCCGATTCTGCATGCCCGCCCGATTTCGTTTGCCACTGCGACTGCCTTATGCCCGCCCGATTCCGATTCAGTAATATTCTTTGACCGCCGTTTCAACCGCCGTTTCGGCCGCCGTTTCCGGTCTTCCTCTTCGACCGCTGTTTCCGGTCGTCCTCTTCGACCGCGGTGGTTTTCGTTCGTGTTTTAAGGAATGATGTGATGTTTTGTATGATGGAAAATATAGTTGGGAATGGCAAGCGCGTTGGAGACACTTTGTGGACAAGCGTTTGGCGCAAAACGACATAACATGTTAGGAATATATCTGCAAACATCATGGATTGTTCTCTTCGTATGTTGTTTTCTTCTGTTGCCTTTCTATGTCTTTGCTACTCCATTTCTGAAACTTATAGGACAACCTCATGAGGTGGCGGAATCGAGTGGTATCGTAGCTATATGGCTTATACCATTGCATTTCAGTTTTGCGTTTCAGTTTCCTCTTCAGAGGTTTCTACAGTGCCAGCTGAAAACATGTGTGATTGCATGGGTATCTTTGTTGGGTTTAGTGGTGAATGTTGTATTGAGTTGGTTGTTGGTTTATGTTTGGGATTTTGGGCTTATTGGTGCTGCAATAGCTTTGGATGTTTCATGGTGGGTATTGGTATTTGGGATGTTTGAGTACACAGTTTGTGGGGGTTGTCCTTTGACTTGGAATGGTTTTTCAATGGAAGCATCTGGCCTTTGGGAATTCTTCAAACTGTCATTAGCTTCAGGGGTGATGCTTTGTTTAGAGAATTGGTATTACAGGATACTGCTGCTTATGACTGGTCGATTAGAAAATGCAACAGTTGCTATTGATGCATTGTCTGTATGGTAAGTTATTAGTGAGTAACAAGTATTTGAGATTTACAAGTTTTATATTTATTAGTTATTACAGTATTGGAATTGGTTTTGCAGTATGACCATCAATGGATGGGAAATGATGATTCCATTTGCCTTCTTTGCCGGTACCGGGTATGCTATTTTTACAATATCATTTGCATTGAAATTGAAGTAAAATTATAGAACAAAATTGATTCTTCATTTCACCTCTCGTATGAGAAGAAAATGGAGAAAACACTAAATTTTTTCTACCATTATCCTTTTTAAATATTTCATAAATTATTAATATTTAACACTTTTCAACTGTATGTATATATCTCTTTAAACGAAAAACATTCACTTTATATTAAAATTAATAATTTTTTAGTTTGAAAAAAAAAACATTTAAGATTGATATTTTCTTAGAGTAACAACAATACTGAAGCATAGTGGATTATCCATATGTGATTGGTTGATGGCGTGTAAGGTATTCTACTAGCGAAGAGTGAAAAATTAAATGTTTAACATAATTTATTCTAGTGAAATTTATCAAATGATGACACAAATTATATTATAGGGTGCGAGTGGCGAACGAACTTGGAGCAAGAAAATGGAAGTCAGCAAAATTCGCAATGTAAGTAAACAGCGAAAAAATATTCAAGTATCATTATATTTGTGATTGATTAATTGATGTTTTTGCATTTTGTAGGATTCTCTAGTTCAAGAAGCTGAAAAATGTGCAATTGTTCCGGATGGACGTAACGATATCTTATCATTAGCCATTGGAACATCTGAGCATGGAGGTCGTGTTCGTGGTGTTGGAAAACACCATAAACAAAGCACTTACTTTGGAAGATCACGTCAACATAGACGTAAATGAACAACTTATAATATTGGAAACAAAACTTAGAGCTGAACTTGAAGAAAAGTTGGTTGAAGAGCGTAAGATGTTTCAACAATCATTAATGGAGACACTTAAGTCCATGGGTTTATCACAAAGCACAGGTGATAATAAATGCATTGAAAAATTGGAAATTATCGATGGAAGCGGAAAAGGAAGTTGTTCAGCTGCAAAGGGAAGCACAAAAGAGAGCACAAAAGACGTGGAAGTTGATGATGTTCAGAGATTGTTACTCATGGTTTTGAAAATGGATGATAACCATTTGGCAATACAATTAAGTCATTGTGCGAGTGTCTCTAATTTCTATGTTTCAGCTAAATGTATCAAAGAGTTATTGGTGGGTTTAGGTCATTGGCTTGACGTGTCTATTCTGCAAATTTGGTGCACGTAAGTACATTTTATTGTTTTATTAAAGTCAATTTATATTAATATGTCATATCTCTCATCACTTTGATTGTAATGTTTATTTAAAATTATTCAGGTATATTCATCGTGTTTGTCTTGAGAATTCCATTTCAGAATTATATGGATTTATGGACCCTGCTAGGTGTATTTATAATGATAGTGTAGCGAAATCTCAAGAAGATG